GTTCAATTCCCACCTCAGACACATTTTCACTCTCAAAACGGCAATTTATGTGTAGTGAGCAATTGTCACCTGTAGAGTGCAGTATTGTGTTGGGCATCAGTGGAGAGAAGAGAGAAAAGGCAGTCCTGTGGCATAGATCCATGGTTTTCAATGCATGGGCGTAACCCGCTATGACGTCACACACAGGTTAGAGCATAGACAATTCATGAAAAACACGTTCTTTTTATAAAATATAGGATTTTTTTTTGCCGGAATCTCTTTCAGATTGACATTGTCATGCAATTTTGATATCCACAATTAAAAAATTATTAACTCGGCATAAGGTCTTTAAGAAAGAAAAAAAAAACATTCTATTCGGATTCCAAGTTAAGGCCCATCTCTTGTGATGCTTTCAAAGGCTTCTCGTAACTACTTTATCACCTTCTTTATTTCCGCTGCTCTCATTTACAGCTTGTTGAGGAGAATTACAGCTTGTATTGTATATTTTGTGTGTGCTCCTTGTGTGTTCTTACTACTGTCCTGTTTGTGTGCTGAAATTTACCCACTGTGGGACAAAAAAAAAGGGACTCGTATCTAACAGTAATGGTACATGAAATACAAAAGTAAATAAAAATCCTATTTGTATATAAAATTTCTTCTGTATATGCATTCTTTTGTCAATTGTAAGTCATTTCATTCACGCAACACAATCAAACACACCATGGTTCCTGCTGTTCCTGCCTTTAGTGACAACACAAAACAATAACATAACTGTGGTGAGGGACTGTACTTTATCAATGATCTAGTGAGTAAAAAAAAAAATCGATATTCGTCCAAATAGATAAATTTCTAGTATTTTCCCTGTGCTCTTACATACATCTGCTGCCCGTGTGGATCCGGTATATATGTGGTTACATGCCAGAGAATACGCAGGGGAAAGGGTGTGATCCAGGGACTCCAAACGGACTGGGATTTCACAACAGGTTTACACAATTCTTGATCAATTGAATTAAGAATCTGGTTTTTGTTAGCGCTTTTCTGCTTTTATCGCTATTTTTAAGCCTCCATTTCAATAAGAGTTTTAAGCCAAATTATTTTATGCTACTCTGTTTTGATATGAAATGATTGTACTTTTAATCGTCTTTTTATTTTTTGATTTTTATACATTTTGATCCGAGTTTTTACATTTCTCCTGTAAAGAACTTTGAATATTCTTACTCTACAAATAAATAATTGATTGATTGATAATTGTTGCTCTCTGCACGTGCCCTGAGACAGACCCACCCTCGGGAGCCAGTCTGAAATAACACCACAATGTGAGCCAAAAATCACATTTCTGCTCAAACTTTTGCACTTCCCCCGATGAGAATTTGAAAAAGTAGATTGGTCCAGTCATTCCTCAATCATTTGTTTTTGTAGTTGTCTGATTAGTCTGCAGCATAAATGCGAGATCTGTGTCTCGCCAAAATTACATGATTAGAAATATTTCAGCAAACGTGATTGATTCCTCTGTGGAGATTTGCACGTCACTCCCTTCGACAACTTAAAACTCATTATTTTCATATAGATACAGTCATTATTTTCAGTTGTTTCTTATACAAATCTGGAACGAAACTGATCCACTTTCAGAAATATTACAATCTAAAATACAGACCTGCACTGCAAAAATGACTCGAATCAGGACTTATCCATAAACTAGTTATTAAATCTGATGAACTTGGATACATGTCTGATCTGGAGATGTACATTTGCAGTTTTAACAGAATCTCGCACATTTACAATTTGTGTGCTCCCATAAATTGTGTGTTTTGAAAATGTCCGAAATTACGTGCACTGACGGGCCCAAAGCTCCGTTCCACATGTGTGTCAATGCTGAGGGGGGTGAATTTTTTTTAGACCAGTCTAGTTTAGCCGCTGTGAATTTTTGAAGTCACTCGTTAAATGAATGTCTTTTGTTTGTGAAGTTGTTTAGCCTACTAACTCTACCTTAACTTACTCAACATTTTGGCCATACATACAACTTTTTATCTATTTAGCTTTGTGATAATCATATAATTCAGAGTATCTGAATTCTCAAAACGTAATAGTACGGATAAAAGATTAAGTTAATATGTTATCTTAACTTACTTAGCTAGCTCAGTAGCTCAGTTGGTAGTAGGTCATGGGTTTGAGTCCACCATGGGACCTACTCCCCCTGCTCCCAAAAATTTCTACTGTCGTTGTGTCCTTGGGCAATACACTTAACCCCACGTTGCCTGAAGCTCCCGCTGAAAGACCAAGGCTGTTTCACCACTGACGATCAGGCATCTTCCTGTGGACCCACCACCTGCAGAGGATCAGCGACGGACTGGTGTTATGAGCATTGGGTGGCTGCTCTCATTGCCAACCCGCGACCCAGAAATGGACTAATAAAGGGGTTGAAAATGAATGAATGAATGAACTTACTTAACTCAAACTCTTTTGTTCATGGCCAATTAACCAGTTGTTGCCATTGCACATTTCAGCCTTTGTCTTGTTGCTTTATACTGCTTGGTTCCTACCAGAGAATCAGGGGCAAATACAAATCATTGGAATGTATCAATGTCTCTAGTCTCAATGAAAAAATCCAATTTACCATATTTCTCAGCTGTTTGAGTCCACCAGCTGATTTGGAATTTCTTTACAACCATTTTATTTATTCATAAAGCCGCTCTCATTCATCGCTTTCACCTTGAGCCAAGTTTCTTTCTCAATCACTGTCACACAAGAGCATCATTTTGACGGCTCAACGAAACACTTTTTGTTACAGTATGTGTGAAAGAAGCACGTGGTACGAGGTGGGGCCAGAGGAATGCTTCTAAAAAGTCATCCTTCAGTGTTGTGTGGCGACGAGAGAAAGCCTGTGTGCAGAGGACGAGCTGTCACTGATAAGACTCCAGTTCCTCTGACACCAACAAACAAACAATGAGCGACGCAATCCATCAAAGATTGTTTTACGTCACTGGAAGAATGTGGCGTTTCAAGGGTTAGCTTTTTTTTCATGTATAGAAACTAGAAGATGTCAGTCGCCACAGACAATCTCCTGAACAGTCACTGGGGTTTGTATTTTGCGTGTAAATCTGCGACACACATTTGTAGAGTTTGTATTGTAAAATGTAGATGAAATAATAGTAGTAACAACAGTAATAATAATAATAATAATAATGGTGATAAAAATAATAATAATACATGTAATAATAATAATAATAATATATGTAATAATAATAATGATGATAATATTATTAATAATAATAAAAATAATAACAACATTAATATTAATTATAATAATAATAACAATACAATGTGTCTCGTTATTCTGTATGTGTTATGGGGAAAAATAAAAACGTATGAAGATGACACAAAAAATAATAATACATTGTATGTATATTGTACCTTGCCTTTACATTAAACCTCAAAGTGCAACAGATTATAATACAATTTGTAGAATGAATGGTGAGTATAATGTCCTGTTTAAAGTTGGCAACATCAACCAAGTGTTGGGGATTTTCTAGAAAATTGTGAAAAAAATGCAATTTCATATATGTTCCATGCAAATAAAAAGAAAAACAGCAAACGCTTAAAATGTAACGCGACCCCTAACCAAATTCAAGTTTTAAATACAGATTTTAGGAAAACAACAGCGTTAGTAAAAGACTGCGATTCAAGTATTATTCGGAATCTCATGCGAATTTTATGAGAATACTATTTCCTCAAGAAGAAGTAGTTCAGTTCTAATGAGTAGATTAATTCCAATAAGTTTAAACATTCCAGTCCAGTCAATAGACATAGAAATGACCATAAAATCCCTCATATCTTGTGACGTTAGTGCTGCCAATCATTTAGACTGACAACTATAACCTATAACCTCCCCCAGGACCAGAGCTTCCAGGTTTGAGCTCGCTACCGTGAAACTCAATCCAGGACCTGAGGACAAGCTGTGGACCCGACATGTCAGTAACTATTCAATGTTATTATTTTTTCGAAAGCAGTGGGAATGGTGTATCCACTGCAGCCTCTTTGTTTTGGGTTGGATTAAATGCTTTGGTGTTCTGTGCTGACAGCTATAGATTCCTTCGGAGCCAGTGAGGTGTGAGGAGGCTGCGGGCGTTGCAATCAAACCCTATTCTGTTGTCCTTCGCCGAGTCCCGCTGAGGGCCCCCCACTTGATTAGACTCTGACTCATACAATCTGCTGCTTCCCAACAGCTGGAATTACTCACTCCGTCCTGCAGCCACCGAGCCAAGGAAGGGACTGAGCATTTATCGGGGAAAGTAGAGGAACCCTGACCTGATGCAGCATACGTGATGCAGCATACGTGTTTGTGCTACAGCTATGCAAAATGTATGAACGTGCGAAACGAAAAAAGGCAAAATACACTTTACTTATCAGTCCAATATTAATCTGAATGATATCAGAATGTGCAATATAGAACCACATGTGTCCACTGTCACTTTACTTTACATACAACTATATGAACTATATTGCACTGCAAAAAGTGATGGAGTCAAAATTGCACAAATTTGGAAAAATATATCTTAATTTGAGCACATTTTGACTGCCTTAAAACAACATCTACCGATGGGACCAAGCTTTTCCTGGCTGTGCTTTATAGGGAGACAAGCTCAACCTTATGTCAAAGATGAGAAATGCTGGTACATTTACAGATTTTTCTAATCCCCCTGTCCCTGTCAAATAATTCAACTAAATACATGAACTTTTTGAAAACACAGCAAAAGGAATAGATTTATTTTTCTACATGCAATATTGTTTGTTTTTTCTACCCATGGACTGTATTATATTGTGTCCTTAGTAATAATAAAATAACACTAATAATTGCCAATATTGCAGCAAATTATATGTTGTGTTTTGTTCCTAAACTACAATCAAATCATGTTCTCAAAGGCGATCCATTCCTCCAATCACAAATCTCTGGAAAATGAATGTATAGGATTTTCTCTGTGAGCAAATACATGACAAATCTGGAGTCAGACTAGCAGCGCCCCTCAGGGACCAGCACTGGGCTCTGTATTAAACAACTCTATGTCTTGTTGGTCGTGGGCCCCCAGGAGCCGCTCTGCCAGACTCGTGTCCATTTGTGAGAGAGTGTTGTCGATCGTCTGCAGCCTCTGGGGCCAGACTCTCGCTCTCTGGGACCGTGCTATTTCTCCAGGCATTAGAAAGCAACTGGACAAAGGTACAAGGTCAGACCTGGAGCAGTAACTTTGAGAACAGAGACTGACCATGACTGTAGAAAAGTGTAGCATCGGCCTGTGGATAACTATTAATGTAGTATTAGAGTATTCTACTGAAGATTACCTTTGATACATCAAGTAGTCTATTACCTTGTTTATACACTGCAAAAAGTCATGAAAATCAAGTCCAAAATGTATCTTGGTTTGAGCAAATTTGGACTGCTTTAAAACAAGATTTTCCAATGGGACAAACAAAAACAAACAAAAAGTTCTTAAAATAACACATGGCTTTTTCCCATCGGAAAATCTTATTTCAAGACGGTCAGAAATGACTCAAATTAAGATAAAAACCACTCAATTCAAGCATACATTACCTAATATTTTATCATTTTGTGCAGTGCACCGTTAACAACATAATGATCAAATATTTTTATGAAAGAAAACATGATTTTGTACAAATAATCCCGACATATTTTAAACTCTAATGCACACTTCCTGTGAATGATACAAACTATTTTTACTTCTCAAATATCACTGTTTGTCTCCCACATATGAGATATATAACTCCAAACAACTAATGATTTATAAAGGAAAATATAAATCAAACAAATCAAACAAATGGAAAAGAGGCTGCCAAACTTTTTTCATACCACTGTGTATATAAATATATTGACGTTTACTTGCTTTACTTACTCTTATGCAGACTTTATAGCTAGTTAAGAAGCTCTGCACCATCTTTCTCCCTGTGTACTCATTATTTATTCCAAACGATCTGTGTGAAGCTGAATCACTCTGTGGTGTTGTGAGAAATGTACCCTTTAAGGCCCTGTCACACATGATGCATTCCCATGTTTTTCCTCCAGGGCCCTTCATCACATGATACTGCTCGAGCTTCAGTCTTCACTCTACATCAAAGACACTGGAAAAATGTCACCTCGGGACATTCGGCGTCGATGACCTCAGACAGAGCCGCTTCCACGACCCCACGCCCACGAAACACATGGGAGACATCATCGAGTGCGCAAAAAAATGTAAACGGTGTCGAAACGCGAATGGAAACTTCAAATAGTGGTATATATACAGGTCTGAAGCAAGCAATCAGCACCAGTGTTTGTGCCTGGTTAGTGAGTAAGTAAGTAATCCTTATTTATATAGCGCATTTTAACAGATCAAGGTCACCCAAAGTGCTTTACAATAGTTGGGAGTTCAGATATTTTTCAATTCTCTCCACACGGTCATCAAAGCCTCCAACCAACACTATCCATTCATCCCCTTGTTAGATTCAGACCTATTTTACATGTTTTTAGTGGTAGGGGAAACCAGAGCACACCTAAGAAACCCTACGCAGACACAGGGAGAACATGCAAACTCCACACCGACAGGCCTGGAGGTAGAATTGAACCCAGGACCTTCTTGCTGTGAAATCTAATCGCGATCACAAAAACAAGTATTTTGTATTGATATGGCACAGATGATACACAAGACAATTCCAAGTGCTAAACCAACACTGCAAAAAGTCCCTTGCTAGAAACAAGAAAAAAAAAACACAAAAGACAACAATTTTGCTTATTTTAAGCAAAAAAATCTGCCAATGGGGTAAGAATTTTTTCCTTGCCTAGAATTCTTGTTTTAAGATTTTTTTCCTAATGTGTCCTGGGGAAAAAAACAAGAATATATTTCTTGATTTAAGCAATTTTCTTCCAATAAAAAGGTCAGATTTAAGCAAAATAATCTCATTATGGGATAATTTTAGGAAATAATGCTCAAATCCATTTCAAATTGAGGATACATTTGCTTGTTTTCTGTTCTTTTTAGCAGACTTTTTCTATTTCTAGTCTAGTTTTAAGCAAAATGGGCTTAATAAGCAAAATAATCTAAGCAAAATATTCTTGATAAATGTACAATTTATAGAACTTTTTTCTTGTTTTTTGTAATTAGTATATAATTTACTCAAAATGCATACAAAATAGTGTCTTGAAACAAAATTCTCTTTACATTGTATTTATTAACCAATCTGAACATGCATGGTAGAAATCAGTGATGTACATTCATTTAGTGAAGGTAAAAAGTACCAAACTGAGAAATTATCAAGCTGCAATCCAAAACATTGCAGTAATGAACTTACAACAATATAAAGAAAATTACAAATTCACTCACTCAGTAAATGATTTCCACTCTACCATGGCTCGTTTGTATGAAGATGTGGCATCTCTGTCATGGATGGAATCTTCAAGAACTTCAGTTTGAAGAACTGAGAGCAGTGTGGAAATGCACTTTGGATAAGTGAGGTGCAAGGTGTAATAATAAGCCAACAGGTACACAAGTCCTTCATTTAGCTTTGCACTTGGAAAGGTGGTCACTGGCGTGTTGTCGATTGCAATCATGCAGTTATCCATGCCCATGAGCAGAACAGGCGAGAACAGTGTCCGTTGTTGAAGATAACGTTCAGGGTCCTCTGCTGCCTATTCAAAAAATGCAACTTTGTTAGAGCACTAAAACACACAAACACATTAAAAAAATTAAAATACACACCTTGAGAACATGGAAAAAGGCTTCACTGCAGGCTCCCAACTTTTTGGGTGGTGGCGCACCTGATGGAAAAAGGTCCGGAAGCGCAGCAAAGACTGCCAGAGCATGGTCCTCTGGTTTTAAAACAATAAACATACCAATTTTTAATGATACTACCGTAATAAAAATATTAAAATTATGTTACTGCATAATGTTAATACTGTATTCTCACCAATATTCAGAGTCTTTGGGGGCTTCATGGCCTTTTTCATAACCCCATAGAACTTAACTTTTGAGAAAAAGTTTTCCCATCTGCTTAAAGTCTCTGCGATGTAGTTTGAGTTTTTTGGTTGGATTATCCTCTGCATCTCATCCAGTACCTGGGAAATGTAAATGTCCTTTATATAAACTGTAGTTTATGTCTTAGGTTCTTATGGAAAGAAGACTATTGGCTTGATTGTAATTACCCTGTTAACATTTTGGCTGCAGAGCTATGAGACATCTTCAGAACTGAAGATACCTTGCAGCCAAAACGTTAACAAGGTGATTACATCTCAACCAATAGTCTTCTTTCCATAAGAACCTCAGTGAAAAAACATCTAAAAACACATCAATAAAAATTGGTCTAAAATACAGTAGTACTTACATGATCCAACTCCTTGAAACACGGATAAGCCTCAATAACTTTAGCTGCTCTGTCTTGCTCCTTCAGAACTTCAGATGTGATGAAACGTCTTCTGGATTCAAATTCCAAATTCAGCAAATGAGTCACCGCTGCTTTGTTTGGTTTTTTGGCCTTGTACATGTTTTGCAGGGCCTTATAGTGTCTTGCTTGGCTCTTTGGTGTGTCCAGTTGATCAGCAGAACCCACTAAAAGTTACATAGATTTGTATTTACATTAAACATGTATTGATAAAACAATATATATACAAGTTAATAAAAACAGTGTGAACCTGCATCCTCCTCACTGGTGTCCAAATTAGGCTGAGGGGTGCTGCTTGCAGCAGGAGACCTTTCAATAATGATGGTGGATGCTTGGCTTGATCCTGTTGAGTATCCTTCAAAATCATCCGAGAGAAACTGCTCACTGGTCATGCGACGTTTTCTGGATGGTGTTCCAGCTGTTTTAGGGATTTTGATATTTGATAGTCTTTTCATAAGTTTCTTGGCAATATGTCCCTGCAAGAAAGAAAAGACGTTTATGTGAATAAATCCTTAAAATAAATAATGAATGATAAAAAACACAAAAATATGTACTTACCCATTCATCGCCAGATGTTCCTTTTAACATTGGATAATACTCAACTAATCTTTTAGCCATAGTATCAACCTCATGTTTGGAAGGGTACCTAGAGTCTTGTAGAGCTCTTGCAATTGAAATCATATTTGTCATGGTGTTCCTTATTAGTCGGCAGAAGAGCTCTTTGGACATATCAGCAGTGGTGGGGCCAAGACGTTTTTGTTCAAAGTAGTATGAACGGACCTGCTCAAGTTCACCATCTGTGTACACAATGTATTCTGGAGTTGAGATGGTCAAAATCTTGTTGGTTGGTGTTGGTGTTGGGGTTCTCTTCTGGAAGTGCACTGGCTGATGTTGTTGAAAGTTTTGATGTCTCCAATTTTTTCCCAGCAGCCTCCACCTGCACATTGATAAACGCATTACAATGCATATTATGTTCACTTAAACCAGGTCCATAACTGTTGTTGTGTAATATTTTATCTTCTACATACAGAGAGCTGATTGAGGGACCCTATTTTTCACTGAAAAAGCTGGTGGTCAAACACACATGCATGTGGAAACTAATGAGTGAGAAAAGTACTTTATCTTATATTATAACTTGGTCAAACAAACACAAACATTTGGTTTTAAAAACATACTTACACTTTCATCTTTACTCACAAGAAGCCATAATGCTCGGCGTCTAAGAAAGTTTTCAGGACCTGGCATCAGATCTTTAATGTCATCTCTGGAGAGAGACCAGAGTAAATCCTCCTCGATATTAGCAGCTAAAACATAAATGTTCACATTTTAATAATACCATATGTCCATTTGTACGTATAATACCCCTACTCTAATACTAGACTTGTGTAAATATTATATCTATAACTTTTTACAAATTAATACATTCTTGAGAACATACACATTTTGCCAGTTAGCAAACTCGGCGCAACTTAGCTTTAGCTTGCTAGCTTATCCCTCAAATTACAAACACTACACAAATGCTGCTCCTTGAAAGTTCCACATGATTCCCAGATATATCTACCTCTTAGAGTTTCAACTGTAACTTCGTCGAGTGTATCCATTACTTGCGTAATAATTATTCACAGGGTTATTTTTAATATTATTACTCGCTCCCGTTGACGAGCTTCCTCTCGGACCGTTGAAAGACGCGGCGCACCCTTGAGTTTGAACATAGAACCGCCGCTCAGTGGACTAGTCCATTATGTGAGCAACGGGGGGGACCAGATATTAGCAGCTAAAACAGCAATTGTTTTAGCAGCAATCGTAAATAAACCATATTACAACAATTAATAATATGGTTTAGCAAAAAAGTATATTAAAAATAAAATATATTATTTTTTATATCTTACCACCCCCACATTTTGAATTATTTGTCAGGCCCCGTGAAGGGCATTTGCGCGGGTGCTACTTCCCGAAAGAAAACAAACCTGTGTCTGCCGTACTGTTAGCAACATGATTTGGCGGTGCGTAATTTGCTTCGTGTTTGTTGGACTTACCCTTAAATCCCTTCTCAGTCACATAAACTCCGCTCATAGCCGAAGTCCGGACTTTCGAATCGTATGTGGAATTGATGGCTGTGATAAAGAATATCGCGTGTATAACTCACTTTGGTACCACATTCGGAGAAGCCACTCGGTGCATCTTAGTTGCAGCTCTACTTCCTCTCTCCCGTGGAGAAATACAGCACCAGCGAATCGGAACCATGGATCTATAGATCGGAACCCATGGGCCTTCATACCACCGGAGCAGATGCACAGGCGAGAGCAACCAGCAGGTGCTGGCGCAGGCCAGGGATCTCAGAGGCCAGAGCCTCAAAATGAACACCGCACTGTGAGTCCAGCAACACAGACGGCGCGCTTACAACCAGATGAGATGCTTTTGGATCATTTTGGAGACTTCAACAATGCGTCGCTGTTTGATGGCTTTGAACAACGCGACCCTGTTGTTTCCCCACCTCGAGACTCGCCGCCCCACGCTCGTACCAGGACCAACGAAGCTGTAACTTTACCGGATCCGCTCATGGAGCCTTTGGACAGTGCTTCTGCGTCTTGCTGTCGGGTAACTACCGTTTTATTACTTTTATGAAATATGTTATTATCATACAGATGACTCTTTTATTAAGATTGTTGTGACTAGGTTACAATGAGCTGTGTGCAGAACAACTAACTCAACAACATGTTATCAAGGACTAACCAGTTATAACCAGTCGTTTCTTTGAAGTACTAATTAAATATACTTAATCTAAAAATCTAACTTTCATAATTTAATAACGTTCTATTGTTTTTGGAATAAAATCTAAATTAATAATGTTTTATCAGAGCTCTCTACACAGTGACATAGAATAATTATTTTGTGTTAACCAGCTGAAATGTACACTTGGGACAGCAATAATCACAATCAATGTTCCTGATGCTGATTCAGCTGTTACAAGTTCTTACTAACAGTTCTATTTTCACAATAGGCATTGTACATGTCTAAATGGATCACACTCATACACTCATATTAGTCACTGTCTTATCTTAAGTTAGACAGCTGTGTTTCTGTTACAAATTATTTATTTATTTTTTTTTCGAAGGATGGCATTGACAGTGGCACTCTGATTAGACAAGCCACTTCAATTGTGCTGTGTGCGCGAGAAAAACATCATCTTTCACAGGTATGTAAGTACACAGGTTTTTTTGTTAATTTACTACATGCATATTTAGTTACTTGAATATTCCATATCTAAAATGTTAACTCGTTTGATTGTTCTTTATTTTTAGACTGGCGTAAATGATGTGGTGGCTGCAATACAGGAGTATCAAGGTCTGTTGGTGTCAAATTTGAGGAGTCAACTTCAAAGTGTCTTGCAGCAACATCCTGGAACAGAAGTTGAAGAGGAGGCAATGGCAGTGTTTGACCAGATTGAGGATCCCTTTGCAACAGTGTCAACCACATACAGGCAGGACAGTGTGATCAAGAAGACTTTCAATTTTGTTGAATCAGAGGAAGTGGCGGTGGGATATGCGGCATGCTTTCGAAAAAAAGGAGCAAAAAGGCTTTTGTCCACCAAACTAAAATGTTTTCATTATATCCCTCTTACAAAAAGCTTAGAACAGTTTTTGTCTCATCCTAAAGTTTTAGCTGTCATAGACCAGGACCAAACAAATAGAAATGGATACATTAGTGACATTATAGATGGAGAACTTATAAAATCACACCATTTTTTCTCAAGTCACCCTTCTGCTTTGCAAATTATTCTTTATTCTGATGAAATTGAAATATGTAACCCGCTTGGTTCTCATGCTTCAAAAAATAAGTTAATAATGTTTTATTATACTTTGGGAAATATTAATCCTAAATATAGATCAAAGTTAGCTTCAATTCGACTACTTGCCATGGCAAATACAAATGAACTGTCTGATTGTGGAGTTGACAAAGTATTAGAAAGACTGCAAGAGGATTTGGTGAAATTATATCATGGTGTAAAAATTCAAACCGCAACAGGTGAAAGGGAAATATACGGAGCAGTTGTGTCTATCTGTGGTGATACAGCATGAGCTTTGTGGGTTCAAAGAGGGTGTGGGGTTTGCCTATAGCAAATGTCGACAATGTGAATGTGCATTTGAAGACATGCAAATGTACTTTAATGAAGACCACTTTGAGGAAAGAACACTTGACAGGCATATCAGACAGTGCAGTGACATAGAAAAAGCTGGTACAGAGTTTCTCAAAAATAGCCTAAAAACGACATATGGGATCAATAGGAGAAGTAAACTGATAGAATTTCCTGGTTTTAACATGATTAAACAAACCCCGCAAGATATAATGCACATAATTCTTGAAGGTATTGCGCCTTTAGAAATAAAATGTGTATTAAAGCATTTAGTGCTCCTCGGCCAACTTGATTTGGACAATTTAAATGCTGGAATAGTTGGTTTCCCATATTCTCCACTTGACGTCAGAGAGACAAACCAAGTACCATTTCATACAGTACTTTAGCCTCTAATGATAACAAGTTAAAGCAGTCATCAGGGCAAATGATTGTTCTTCTAAAAATACTACCTTTTCTGATTGATACAGCTAAAACTACTGAATGTTATGCTATTATTCTTGAACTTATAGCCATTGTTCAGATCCTGTTTTCTCCTGTCATTAGCCCTCAAACACTTAACAGATTCAAAATTCTAATTGAGCAACATTTAAAACGCATGAAGCGTACTTTTCCAGATCAAAACATTACACCAAAACAGCATTATTTAATACACATTCCAGGTCAGATTAAAAACCTCGGACCAATGATACGTCACATGTGCATGAGATTTGAATCAAAGCATTGTTTTTTTAAACAGTGGGTGTCAAAAGTAAATTTTAAAAATGTTTGCAAGTCATTAATAAGACATAATCAGATGTATGAATGTTACCAGAATGCAACAAGCTCTGATCATCCCATTTTCTCAACTGAATGTGTTCTTGGACCCACATCTGAAGTTAAAAACATGTTATATCTTAAAGAAAAAGTAAGAGTGTTCTTTCGAAATGAACATGTCACTCATGCAGTGTCAGTTAAATGGATAAATCTAAATGGAAATAAATATGTCTCTGGTAAAACATTAATTGTCAATGCTGTCAAAAATGACTTACCTGAATTTGGACTGATAAGAAACATATTTGTTGTAAATTCTTATATGTATTGTTTTGAGTTCCAGCCTTATGCCACTGTTAGTTACAATAGAGATTATATGGCATATCAAATTGAAATTCCAAACATGGCTCAAGCAAATTAATTCATCTCTTCAGATGCTATTGTAGACTATACTCCATATTACAGTGTTGTACACAAAGATGTAATATATGTGCCCATTAAATATGATCTTGGAGACGTGATTGCATCACGAGCATGAGGTTGGCCAATCATTTTGTATTGTGTCACATAGGTGGGTTTGTGGTTCCTCTATGATGCAGGAGGGTCTAAGGACAGTGATGATCTGGGACATTTAAAGACATTTATTAACATTTCTGGACAGTGGTCATCCTGCTCCTTATATGGCTCCTATGTGTTTGTTATTATTGCATTTCCTGTGTTCGTATGATTCTCTGATCTGTTTTTGGTGAATCGACAACTTTGTAATGTCCTCCTAGGCAACTGCTGCTGTGGTTTTGGACGATACACAAATACATTGAAGTGAAACGCATTGAATTCAATTGAATAAAATATTTTTCTTATTTTAAGATTTCTTGTTTTCTTATTTTTTCTTGAATTAAGAAAGAGGCTTTATGTTTAAAGCCTAAATAAGTCATTGTTGCTTGTTTTGGATCCAAATATTACTTTTTAAAGTACATTTTTCTTAATAAGAAAAAGCTAGAATTAATTTCTAAAAATAAGAATTTTATTCTCAAGGAAATTTTGCTAGACAAGATAATTTTTCTTTTTATACAAAAAACAAGGTTTTTTTTCTCATTTCAAGACTTTTTTTACTTGCTTAGAATTGACTTTTTGCAGTGAAAAAAACTAGAAAGTAACGTACAAGACGATAAACACAACTGGGTTTGAGAAAAAGCCTGTCTCACATTTTTCAGGAAGACTGTGCCGGAATTTTAGAAAAGTCCCAGATTTTAGAAAAGGTAGATTGTGGTATAGATCTATGGAATAAGAAGACATTTGAATGAAATATACAATAGCAAGATGGCGCCGTAGCAAGAGCTCTGCCGTGTGCTGTCCCGGTGCACACTGGGGTATTCTCGCACAGTTATTCCAATGTGGTTTTACTGCAAACAGCAAATACAAGAGAAAACCAAGAGGTAGTGGATTCAGCTATAGACCATTGCCAATGGATATGAGGAGTTCTGATGGACACAGCAGGAGTTCTCGCACAGCTATTCCAACGTGGTTTTACTGCAAACGGCAAATACACTGAATCTTTATCAGGAACGTTTAAACCCAATACTATGGAACAGAGGGCAAAGTGAGGCCAAGACCCCGGGGGCTACTCGCAGGGCGGAGGAAGCTTCATGGCGGCTGCACACAGAAACGTGATGCAGTACCCTGACACAATTGGCCATTGAGCGTCACAAAGAGCTGTGTCTGGTCTACGTGTGGGTGTGTGTATATCTGAGTGAATGTGTGTGTGCGTATGTGTGTGTACGTGGACATGTGACTGAGGCTGTTCTCGCTGTTCTGCCCCTCTGAACAGGTCTGTGCCTGTGGGGAACCGGAGACCCCCGTGTGCGAGGAGGTGAGTGAAGTCGCTCTATGTGAAACACAGCCGGAGCTTTCCGCCAGGTCAAATACATATTAAAAAAGAGGAAACCAGGTAGTGGGTTCAGCTATAGGCCATCGCCACTGGATATGAGGAGTTCTGATGGATTTATACAGTACGCACTGCAAAGAACGGTCAAATATGAAGTAATAAATGCTCATATCAAGTGGATTTTTGGTTCATTTGAGCACATTCTTACTGCCTTAAACCCCGATTTGCCAATAGGAGAAAGCCATTTAGTCTCATTTCAAGACTTATTTCAAGGGAGATATTTCTTGTATCTTTTTAAAACAAATTCATTTTGCTTTGTCTCATTGTCAAATCTTGTTTTAAGGCAGTCAGAATGTGCTAATATTAACATTTTTGCAATTATTGACTTGTTTTTCATTACTTTTTGCAGTGTGGTATGACTTTAAATTTAGTGTGCAAAAAAACAAAGGAAGGGAAGGAAGAAAGCTTTTAACACCTATATTTTTTTACGTTTGTTGAATTGGATTTTGATCGGAAGCACTTTTGTTCTCTTCTTCCCACTCCCTTTCAGGCAATTTTTATTTTATTTTATTTTATTATAGGTGTGTTTTTATGATAATAGGAACTGTGAAGTTTCTGTGTTTGCTGATGATAAACTTTGATGTTTCCAGGAAATGTAAGTATCGGCGAGGTCAAAGAACGGTGATGAACCAAGACATTTCAGGACATTTATTAACATTGGTCATCCTGCTGCCTATGGACCAATGACTTCTAGGAGTTTGTTATGATCACATTTCCTGACTTTGAACTGTGCGATTCTCTAATCTTATGTTGTGGAATCGACAACTGCTGTTCTGATTTAGGTCAACACAAAAATAAACTCATTTGAGATATACTTACACTGTATTTATGGTCACAATAGGCCTTTGAGCATTTACTGGAGAGGAGCTGTTTATGATCTTTTTAATACCTTGTTTTGTTCAGCTTTTTGAGTTGCCTTGTCTATGAATTGTGCTATACAAATAAACTTGCCTTTAACCCTTTAATGGTTTCCTCAGTCATTTGGTGGATCACCTTTTGTGTGACTAAATCTACTTCTAAATGTAACTGAAATCTACCTCATTGGGGCATCACACTTGGTTTTACGCACTTTTACCATCAAATATGCATTTCAACCATTTGTTAATATGGGTCCATAATTTAAATAAAAACAAAGGGGTTAGAAAATAAATAAATAAACTAATATTTTTGGTATTTGGTGTCCATTACGTGTTAGAAAAAAAAATACAAAATGTTCCAATGCTTTCTTCTAGGGAGTGGTCAGTAAAGGGTTAAGCCAGAAATGTACTTTTACCACTGAATCTCATGTCAGACTTTCAACCAGACAAAAACCTATCCTTATCGACTTTAGCAACACAAAACCAAACCCACACAAGCAGCTCTCCTCAGACGGCAGAGATACCAGTGTCAATCAACAACATTCAGCAACAATCAGATGTGCGACAGTATCTCCAGACCATGTGACCTCCGACTATTTTTACTACAGCGAGGAGATGACAGCAGCGAGCTCCGGGGACCACAAATATGCATATACATTCTGTGCACATCAAAAGCCTCAGCCACGCGACCTCTCTGTCGGTATGAGGCCAAACTACCGAGCATACTCCCATAATTCCCTTCAGCCTCGGTCTTATCCGCGACCGGCTGCTTTCGTGTAAACATGAGGTCACAGAGAGAAAAGGAAGAAAGGATGCCAGGAGTTTTTGTGGTATAGTTCAAAACAAGTTCCTAATAAAGATTTGTGCTTTGGGTGCAACAGGAATTACTCATATAAATATAGAAAATGAATCGACATGAGTATTTCAAGTATTTAATTTTGATATGTTTATGTATTTCTGATTATTTAGATTGGTTTTGTTTGTGGTTTTGTGTTTTAATCTGTAGCACTTTGAGGTGTATTATTATTAGTATGTATTAGTGTATTATTCTTATTATCACTTCCCACAAGCACACAAAATTAAGATTAATCCTCTGGGAACCAAAGTAGCAGAATTGCTCCTGAATCCAAGACACTTTCTATACAGCGACTTGGCTTCCCACAAACGCATCTCTATATTTTTAATCCAGTATCTATAACTATTTTTTTATGTATTTGTTTCTTATGTAATGTCGATTTCAAAATACATTTCAACAAAAAACGCTGGAGCCTAAAGGGTTAAGATTAAGAGATGCTTTAATCGTCAGACAGTGGGGAAATGTCAGTGTTGCATCCCAAGGTAAAGAACAGAAGGAACTAGAAGCACACAACGCAAGTGAATATTAGTTATTATTGATCTATGTAAGTGAGTAAGTAAACCTTATATTTATAGAGCCTTTTTTTTTTGACAAAGTGCTTCACGATACAAAAAAAATGTCAGACATATTTGCAGTACTGTGATGGGAGACCTCAGAAGGGCGGCTCCGGCTGTAAAGTGCCAAACTGTTGTTGTGTCAAGTTCAAGTTATCTTTATTGTCCCGCTGGGGTAAATTGGTTTTGCAGCAAACAATCATCTAAAAACAGGCCGATTCAGTAAAATCACAACATTGAAAACAAACAAGAACAAGAGAGATTGTCACAAAGCTAATTTTCAGTGCAAATATGCTGTAAAGTGCTATGTGCTGTTAAAGTGCTTCACAGCTGTTGGAATAAATGTAGTTCCCAGACGTTTTGTTCTACATCCAAGAGCCCAAAACCGTCGTCCTGAGGGTATTCAAACTGCTCCCTCCTCCAAAGAACTAATGAGAGAATTGGCCTTCCTGACTGTACAGGTGTTCTCCCTGACACTGGTCACTGGTGTCCATATGTGTTATGTAGAATTATAACCAACTATCAAGCAAAATGAATACATAAAAAATAGGGAAAATGTTAAATTAAAACTGTAATGTATTTCTTTGTTCAATATTACTAATAATATTTTGATTGTGCGTATAAGACTGAGGGATTTTATCTCTTTTTAATGTGCTGTGATTATTTATGATTTTTAATGCCTTGTGTGATTGTCTCATTCTTGTTTTGTTCAGCACTTTGAGTTGCTTTGTGGATGAATTGTGCTATACAAATAAACTTGCCTTGCCTTGATTCATATTCCAAGTTCCGATGTTAGCATACAGAACTCTGCTTTCCGTCTTGATAAATGTAACGGCATTTAGCGTCATATCACTTAGCATTAGCATTAGCATAGCGTGTCTTTGTGCAATGTTGATGGCTGTGATGTATGCACTTAGTCACCGGAGACCACCTTTTTTCTCAAAAAGGAAACAGAAAGACAAATACAGAGCAGAAAGTACCTTGCAAACACAAAAGGTTAAAAGTGCAGCTCAGATGACTCGCGGTTCTAGCATAAAACGAAAGTAAAGAGTTTGTGCATGTAAATAACTTGTGAAATGCAAACGTTGTACTCAGTGTTTCTCGAGGGGGAATGCCGGTGTTTATCTGGTCCTGATAAGGTCATTTCAGGAGCTCACACAAAGTTGTAACAGCAGACATGGGAAGTACAAAAAAACGCAATTTCAAGTTAGCAAGAAATGGTGATGTTTTCTCTCTCTCTCTCTGATTCCAAATGTACTTTTTTAAAATATTGTATATATTGTAAAATGAGGCAAAAAACAAAAGTTGTGCATTTTAAGAATTTTAGTGCTAAATAAGCTGGACTTTTTTAGTACAGAATGCCTTGATGGGTATTGATGGTATAGGCTCATTTTAAAGAGGGGAAGAACAAAAAACATACCAACATAAACAAATGATAATATCTAATTGAAAATGTACATTGTTTCTTTTTTTCTGTTTTAGCTCTTGTCCTCGCTCCCTGTTTGGTTACTTTTTGTGGTGTTTTTGCTGTGTCTTGATTTGTATAGCTTTTTATCAAATCCATTATTTAGCAGTTCTGCGTTTTGGGTCTACTTTGTCTTTCAACACAACACTGTACTGAAAGACACTATTGTAATTCAATGTGCTCCAATTGAGAAACTTTTTTACCAAATTTGAGTTATTTTTGACTCATTTCTCCTCACTTTAAGCAGCCGCCGGTCGGTCACTAATAAACGCATCTTACCGAGTAGCTGCACCCCTCGCGTGAGCCCGTAAACGTCGATGAGCGCCCACAGCGACTCGGACGTCCTGACGCCGCTGAAGAACAACATGGGGCTGGACTCGTTGAGGCGGTAGAAGACGCGGCCCTTCTTGTCGACCCAGAAGGCGATGACGTTGCCCTCGTTGGAGATCTCCTCGGGCAGCGCCTTGGCCCAGAAGCCGCTCTGGGAGACCAGGTCGGGGCAGGCGTACTTGGGCAGGTTGTCAGGGTTTATCCGGGACGGGTCTTTGGAGGTGAAGCCCAGACGGAGAGCTCCACTCCAGCAGCACTGCTTCTTGGTGATCTGCAGAGAAGGTGGAACTCGTTTAGGAGAGGCGAGGCAAATTTAGTTGCACAATTCATACACGAGGCAACTCAAAGTGCTAAATCAAGAAAGAAACAATCACACAAGGCATTCAAAAAATATAAATTATCACAGCACATTAAGCATTTAGCCTGTTAGCATTTATCCTAAGCAGCAGTTAGCATTTAGCTTAACCCTTGTATTATGTTAAGGGTCAATTTGACCCATTTCAGTTTTTGTGTTGATCAAAGTACTGGTTATCCTTTCTTTTTCTTGCTGAAATTTGGTGACTTTTCCTCATCTAGGGTCATGAACAGGTGTGTAAAATCTGGACACTTTGATGTGTAGTGGAATGTCTGTGCAGAGTTTGTATACAAAGATGATGTTGCGGGTCATTTTGACCCTGACGTTTTAATGTGGGTAAATAGTTGTTCAGATCCAAAAAAACATGTCTCTTTGACATTTTATTTTGATTACCTCTGAGAGCCAGGTGTGTGAAGAGAGGGAACTTTCTCACACTTGTCCTTGTCACTCTTCTCATGTCATCTCTTTTGCCTAGTGTACATCGTACTGGCAACTGAATATATCCGTCGCCTTTGAGTTGCTGCCCCCCACACATCGACAATCTGGCGAAAACGGGCAACTTCTAGTAGCAGGCTAGTCTCGGGAATAACAGCGCATACATCAACAGCAACTGGCCTCAACTACAGTGTGTTTTCTGCATAAACTGTAGAGGGCGCAATACACGCAATACACACGTTGTTGGAGCACATCGGGTGAGATCTCTGGATCTGAGGACAACTAGTTGTCGAAAAGTAGAACACGGGCAACTGAATGAATCCGGAGATCGACTGTTCATCTCCAGTTGTAAGAGCGCTCATATCGACCGATTTTGGCAACTGATCATCTCCATCATCTACTCTCAGTTGCCAAAAGCCGTCTTGCAACTAGTTAGGCAACGCTAGGCCCTAGACAAACTCACCAAAAATGAGCTCCAGAAGGATGACATCTGAGGAGGCTTTATCACAGATTTTGGGTTGATGATGTAGAGGAAGAGATTTCAGAAACAGAGGATTTTTCAGATACAGGAAAATGTTATTGCTGATCCAGATTGTCAATCTTCTTACGATAAGGAGGATTCAGAGGACGAATCTTTGGCCAAGTAAAGAGGAAGGGAGGAAGGAAGGAAGGTAGGAAGGAAAAAAGGGAGAAAGGAAGGAAGGAAGGAAAAGAAAAGAAGGGAATAGAGGAGGATGAACAGAGAGAAGGAAAACAGGATGAGAAAAAGGAAGGAGAAAGCATGGCAGGAGGAAAGAGGGAGGGAAGAATTGTCATTTTAACCCGAGAGGAGGACAAGAGGATTAGACTAAATATTTCTTAAATATATCATTGGAATAAAAAAAAATATTGTATGTCACTTTTTCTAAATATTTATATAACCTAAAATAAAGTTGTTATTGGTTTAACCTGTTTTCTTGACTGTTTTGAGTGCATTTACGCAGTACGGGTCAAAATGACCCGCAACATTATCAATGTCATTTTTTTTCAACATAATACAAGGGTTAAGCAGCAGTTAGCATTTAGCTTAAGCAGCAGTTAGCATTTAGCTTAAGTAGCATTTAGCATTTAGCTTAAGCAGCAGTTAGCATTTAACTTAAGCAGCAGTTAGCATTTATCCTTTGAACAAACATTTCAGTTACACTCACCAGTTTTAGCACTCAGTAAAAGTGAGTGAAGGTCAAAACTTTTAAAACAATTTTCTTTTGATAAATCTGTTGGAAAATGAAACATTTTTTGGGGTAATTTCTTGGAATTCCATTGTGAAAAGCATGAATTAATGAGGTCAGTCAATACGATGTCCAAACTTAGGCCAAGAAGGCAAGAAGAGCTGGACTTTCTGACCACTGGAGACGCCGACTTGTCTGACTACAGAATTTTACTAATAGTGACATGTTTGTATTAATTAATCGGTAAAACTCTGGTTGCTATTGGAAGAGGAGACTGTTCTATTTAGGGAGACATAAACAAATGCTATATAAACTCTGTAGAAAGATGATGCAGGGGGCGAATGGGCAGAGATGATGTCCAAACTGTGTCGGTCCACGCTTTAAAATACCAGTATCCAGTCTGGTATTCCTTGCGTTATGGATTCCTTGCCTTGCTGATCCGTCCATCTTACAGACCAACTAACATGGACCATGACTTCAGTCTGATTGGTCATAATAACAGCTGTGGGAGCTCTAGCAGTTTCAGAAATTCTGGGTTTCCTCTGGTAAACATGTAGTACTTTACTTAATATAAAGAGTGAGTAGATAGTTGAATATTGCAGCTTTCCACTTCTTGAAAACCTGCCATGATCATGATCATGGCAGATTTTCATAAATGATCATAAATCATTCTCAAATCCAACATGTCTGCTTTCGATCCCACTTTGCTGGCAACTGTCTCCTTTCTCACAGTCAGATGATGGATGACTGTGATTGTTTTGATACTTTAAAAGCTTCCAGACTCTGCTGCTGCTGATGCTGCTGATGCTGCTGCTGTTGCGGTGCCAGGGACAGGGATTTACCTTGAGTCGCACTTGCTCATACAACGCAATGGGCCGGTTGCTGAACGTGATGGCGTTGCAGAAGCTGGCCTGTCTCTTCACCGTCTTCTGGGAGAGATCCATGACGATCTGGGAGCCCTTGGCGCTGGGGTGGAAGAGCAGAGGGCAGATGGGATAGGGGCCCCCCACGCCGCCGCAGTGCATGGCCAGGCAGCGCTTGGGCTTGTGGTGACATCGGTGAGAAGTGGAAGGGAACGGGCCTCCCAAGGAATCTGCCAACCAGGGAAAAGAAAGACAAGGGTTATGGTTTTGAGCAGGACTACAGGGGTAATGATCAGGAAAAGTAACTCGAGTTTGATTTTACTGTTGTGATTTTGGCTTGATTCGATTTTGGGTTAATGTATTTCTGTTATTCAACTTACAATGTGAAACTAATTTATAATGTCGACTCATTACCTGCAAAGTTTTCCTACATTTAACCCTTACAGTTTTCATAACAATAAATATTTACCATCTTTAGTATCTTACTTCAACTTCCTGCTGTATAAGAGACCTATAAAGTAACTTTATAATATAAACTATAAGCTAACTGCGTGAGACTTTTCACACATCATGGTGGTAAACTACTACTGTAGCCTCGGCTGTCCTGGGGCAGACTGATGGAGGAAAGGTTGCCATAGGTGCCATCTTATCAATACAACAATGGCATATGATAAGATAAACCTTTATTAGTCCCTCTGTGGGGAAATTTCAATATCATAGTTGTGCAAATTACAGAAGAATAAAAGGAGAAATAAACAGGATCTAGATAATAGATAATAAAAAATAAATGAGAAAATAAACTCTATGTTCGCAAATATGCTTTTCCCCTTAAATCCTCACGTTGCCGTTTCAAAATAGATGGAACGTTTGTCTTAACTATCCTGGATGTGACTTGGCGGAGTATTTGCAGACACAGGCAGTTTTGACAGTTTCACAACAATGAGAAGTGAGGAAGCCGTCAGCACAGATCATAAAAAACCCTGAGAGCACTCTTTTTTTGTTTTCGTCAGCATTTATCACATGTTTGAACTCCACATCCCAGCAGTCACATGACCAGACACCGATATCTCTTTGCACAACAAACATACTCATGACGAAACAGAAAGTCCCTCCTAAAAGTGAAAGTAAAAGCAGCATGTGAAACAGCATAGTTATCTACATCTACAAGCAAAGGTAAATATAAACAAAATACTTTTAGGGAGAAAAACATCTTTATCGTACATTCTATCAGAGATTCCAGTAACAGTAGGTCTGGCAGTTTGGAAACAGGCTTTTACATGTATTTGCATGGACTGACGTAATGCGCCACTGTCCCAGAGCAGAATGGTCAAGTTATTATGTACTATAATAATAATACTTTGGTTTTATATTGCGCTTTTCAAAAACTCAAAGACGCTTCACCATTCAGGACACACTTACACACACATTGTGCAATGCGGAATTTAAGAGTCGTATGCTTGGAGGAAAAGTTTAACTGTTTTTTGAAGGAGTTTAGTGAGTCTGAGATTAGTTAGATAGTTAGATTTATTGATATAGTACAATTTCCCATATCTTCACACTATTCAGTTAAACAATTTTCTGTATATCACAACAGGAGTAATCTCAGAGGATAAGTTGTTGTCTATTCTTTATCAAGTAGTCAGTTCAAACTCAGAAAATGCAAGACTAACAAACACATAGAAGCCATTGGTCCATAGGGGACAGATTACCAATCTCTGTGAATGTTAAATGTTAACAAATGACCATAATTCTATAGCCCTACATCACAACAGTGGTAATCAATGTGGGGCGACAGTGGCTCAGTTGGTAGAGCATTTGCTTTTGAGCCAGAAGGTTGTGGGTTCGAGCCCACCACAAGACTTTCTCCACCGACTCCCACTGTCTGCTGTCGTGTCCTTGGCAAGACACTTAACCTCTGGGAACACCAGAGCGGTTGTAAACTGACCAACTGCCGTTGTGTCCTTAGGCAAGACACTTCACCCACATTATCTAGAATGAGTCTGGTGTGTGTGTGAATGGTCGGTAGTTGGCGGAGGGGCTGATGGCACATACAGGTTGCCTCGCTTCTGTCAGTGTGCCCCAGGGCAGCTGTAGTAGTTTATCAGTGAAAGAATAATGACATGTGAAGCGTCTTTGAGTGTCCAGATAATCGCTATTGAAATAAACTAAACTGAAACTCATATAAAACTGATGCACTATTATTATTATTATGATCAGAATTCGCCAACACAGATCAGAGAACCAAACAGTTCAAACACAAGAAATGCAACGGTAAAAAAACACATAGAGCCATTGGTCCATAAGGGGCAGATGACCAATGTCCATAAATGTCCATACATAATCACCACTTTTCCTTCATCAGCAAACAACTCAAAAACCAAAAACATGGTTGATACGGGGTTGGATGAAACAGACGCTTATTTCATCCCCACCTCCTTTCAACTATTCTCCACACACATCAATACACAGAACACAAGTGTAATTCCAAGAGGGGGTGGTTGCCTGCGGAGTCTGTAACGATTCCTTACGAATAGGCTTGATTTCTGTGAATGCCTCAGAGTTGTACTTGCGCTGCACGATCAACATGAACCCAAACTATTTTCTCAGACGTCACACAGAGCGATGTTGAAATCCACATTCAGGTGCAGAGACACGACGGGGATTTCAGCTTTCAAAACACGATTCATACAGACATTTATAGAAGCGCTGCCTAAACATCCAAATGGAGTCTATTACAGAACAATTTCTCACTTTTCTTGAAACTTAACAATGTTGTGGAAGCAACTGAGCAAGTGTGTTCATAGTCCCCTTGCTAAATTTCTGGATGTTTAGGTTCAGGTTGATTTTATTTGCCATTTGCAGTAAAAAAAAAAAAAGGCAAGTAATCGTGGCCACCTCTGGACCTCACTTTCCCACCTACTATTCTTGAATCCTCCCTCAACTTCACACCTGTGCCAGAGCTCAGTTAGCACCTTCTGGCTGCAGGGTTAGGGTTAACATGACAGTGTTAAAATCTAGGTTAAAAGCGTAGTGGAAAGCTGTGGAAAGCTCACAGCTTTCCACTACGCTTCAGCTCGTGCAGCAACCCGCCTCCTCCCCACCTCCACCTCATCACTACAGCTTCCACAGCCAGGGTCTGAACCCCTGGGGGAATTTCACCATCAAAATCTCTATTCAGTTCCCTTCTGTTTACGCCAGGCAATATCGCTGACATGTTTTAAGCGCTAAAGATCATATTCAATGTAAAAATTTCAAATCCATGCAGTACAGAAAGATGCTATCAATTTTGTTTTCTATTACATCCTTTGTCAGATTCTTTACAGATTGAACTAGTCTTGCACAAGTGGAAATAATAGACAGAATAGCAGCTTTTTTTAATTGAATTATGTCAATATAGCATTTCAGATGGCTTAGTAGCTATTTGTTTCAGTCAACGGAAAAATCCGAGCATGCTATCCAACCTCTTGGAACCAATCAACATGGTAATAGCTTAGATAATTTGAGCTTTTTGATAATCTTTGCTATTTTCCACCAGTGAATCAGGCTTTTTCTATTTCAAAAACACCTCTTATGCTTTTGAATAATGTAATCCAATATACAGTATATGTAGATTCTGCGCCTTGGTTGACTGTATGACTTAATTACTAGTCAGTAATAGTAATTTAACCAGACGAGCTCATTGTTCTTGGATGTAAGCTAACCCAGGCCTGCAGCAGGTGCCTTGTGGAGCGCTGATAAGAGCGTACAGCCTTAGAAGTGCGTTGTGTCCTCGCTGGGGGTATTGTGTCTCTGTTTATCTTCATGGGGCTCCCACTTTTTTCAGCCTGGGAGAGTGTTTGCGCTCAAGACCGCGGCCCAAGAATAAGAGCGGTGCTGTCGTCTTTTGTTTTTGAGCTGGATCCACAGGAGAGAACTGCTTTGAATGGTCTGGGCCAGTGGCAGATTGAGCTGAATGCATTAGCTTTGCTCTGTGGAGGCGCAGCTGCTGGAGAGGAAAAAGTAATGTGCAAATGTTGAGCCATAGCAACCCCATAGCTACTACAGGACACAGTGTTAGATCTCTCTCAGGATATTTATACATATACACTAGCAAAACATGGGTGATTCATGTATTCACAACATACAGACTTATTCAGTTAGCAATAGCAACACTTAAGAAGAAGAAGAGATAAGATAAGATAAACCTTTATTAGTCTCACAGTGGAGAAATGTCAGTGTCATCGTTGCACATTACAGCAGAGAAAGGAAATAAGAGCACTCAGATTGCACACAGCAAAGTCTATTAGACAATGATAATAGACAATACATTTAAGATAAAATAAAAAAAAATAAAATGAGATAAACTCTGGGCTATAATAGCACTTGGTTCGGAGTATTTACAGATGTCTATATTATACATTAGCAGCGGAGAATATGAGAATATGAGCAGAATAAACACCATACACTCCGTATGGGCAAAGTGGGGTCAGTGTGTTGCCCAAGGACACAACAACAGAATACATCAGTTTGAGTCGGTGGAGAAGGTCTCGTGGTGGGCTCGAACCCACGTCCTTCAGGCTTAAAGGCCAATGCTCTACCAACTGAGGTGTATCTTTCACCAGATTTCAGAAGCTCGGGTTAGAACCCAGCTAAAATCTGGAACTGTCATCCTGAAAATGTGAAACAGGCTTCTGCCATGACAGTGTTAAAATCTAGGTAAAAAACAGTTCTGTTTGGCTGCGCAGACAAGTGAAGGATTGTAGCTTTACTCTTTTTAACGCACATTGATTATTGATTATTTTAATTACCTATGCTGTTTTAATACTAATGTTTTTATTATCTGGTGTGATATTAATGGTTGTTTTTAACGTCCTGTGATTTTGATTATTATAATTGAATGCCTTTTGTGACCTGGGCTGTGAAGAACGTTGCGTTACCTGGTGTAGGAAAAGCGCTCGACGAACGAAGGTTGACTTGAGTTTTCTTCGGTCCTTTGGAAAGACATCGAACCCACTCTGCCTGGTATGAATATAGTTTTGTGAATGAAGCTTAAGCAAATGGATTTATTAAATGGATTTTTGATTTTCATAAAGAACAACAAGTTAAGTAAGGAGAAAATCGTTTAGGTGTAGAGCAATAACAAACAATGAGTTAAATGTACCTCAGTAGCTGCTACATGTGACGCCGACTCGAGCTTTGCCTCATGGGACCATCTTGAACCGTGTGATAACAGCTTGCCAATACCCCACAG